GTTTTGGCTCGGTTTTCGTATCAAACGCCTTGCTCTTCTAAGGCTGTTCTTGGCAGAACTGGTCCTCAAATCGCAATTTCTGTCCCGAGATTCGATAGACAAAACATCAATGAATGGGTTCTTCGAATTTTGCTCTATTCCAAAGTATCGTTTCTTTAAAATTAATTTTTAACTTTGAGAGGTTTTGGCTCGGTTTTCGTATCAAACGCCTAGCTCTTCTAAGGCTGTTCTTGGTAGAACTGGCCCTTAAATCGCAATTTCTGTCCCGAGATTCGATAGACCCATCAATGAATGGGTTCTTCGAATTTTGTTCTATTCCAAAATATCGTTCCTTAAAAATGATTTTTTTAACTTTGAGAGGTTTTGGCTCGGTTTTCGTATCAAACGCCTTGCTCTTCTAAGGTTGCTCTTGGCAGAACTGGTCCTTAAATCGCAATTTCTGTCCCGCGATTCGATAGACAAAACATCAATGAATGGGTGCTTCGAATTTTGTTCAATTCCAGAATATGGTTCCTTCGAAAGGAATTTCTAAACTTCGAGAAGTTTTTGCGCTGTTCTTCATCTATACACTATGCTCTTCTAAAGCTGCTTTCGGAAAAAACTAGTCGAGTTTTGGCAACGTGGGGTTTGCATGCCGATAACAAAAGCCCTGGGTGTGGTCTCAATTGGGTTCCATCCCTACAAATGGTGCCTTCATAATAATTTTCCACACTTGGGAAAGGTTGGGCGCGATTTTTCCTTACACCATTATCTTTAAAAGGTTTGAAGCCCACACGCGACTCGATTAGTGAGTTTCACCCAAAAGCGCCGCCCTTGAAGGAAAACTGGGTTCCTGCACACGAAACTTTGTTATGGAATTGCAAATTCGTAATGTTTCTATTTCTAAATAGTCAAGCAATTGATGAGGAATTCGGGCCTGTTTCCAACAGGAATTTGTCGATTGTCACTTTTCACAGAGTGTTTTGAAACCGCTGCTCCAATTGGTTCCAAGCCAAACTGAGTCATAATCATAAATACAGCGAGTGCGCGAATAATATGCACATTATTGCATAAATATGGCTTTGAGCGATGCAGCAAAATTGTCGGTCTAAAGCTGCGGACCTTAAAGCCCAAATAAGGTAATTAATATAGTAATTATTCGGATTTATGGCCCATATTTGCTGAATCGAAAGCTGATTTGAACATCTGGCCCCAGTATGTTTTAGCCATCGCCTCGAACGCTCAAAAATGACAAAACTTTTTAAGCAAACTCTTCCAAGTAGCCAGCCAGCATATGAAAGCGCAATTGTGTCCAATTAGGTTTTACTATCAGTCGAGGAAATTTAAGCGCCTTACCACCAATGGCGTGCGTTTAATTCGAATAAAGATAGAATGTCTTATTAGCAACATATCGTTTATTTGCATAACATCCAACCAAAGGTCATCCACAACAATAATATTACACTTAATTTCGTTTTTAACTATGACATAATACGTACAATTTTATGGTCCATGCTAATGTAATTTACACAGCGAATAAATGGAGCTGATGGTAATGTTTTCCATTACAATTGCCTGGTTAGTCATTGCTGCTAACCTTTGGTTCAACCGAGGTCATTCTTCAAAGTACCAAATTTACGTACTGATGTTTTTCCAACGAAAAAAAATTATTAGCGTGATTATTGAACTCAAAAAATGCTGATAAGCAATTAATTGATCGTTCAGTACGTTTACCTAGGCAGGTAGTCCACAGTTGGGTACTCACATATTTTCACTTCAAAACCGAGGATTCGCGGAAATTTGCACTTAAACGTTCACATTTGCATCAATTTTCCGCTTAAGGGCTCCCCCATATGCATCTTACCCAAAATGAAAAAATCCCGCAAAAACTTTCCAGTCTTTAGCAAATTATTCTAAAGAACCCATTTGTGCGGATGGAACCCAATCTGCACCACATATGAAGAAAGGCTTTGGTGATCGGGCCTAATTCCTT